CTGTAGCAAGGGAGATTTCGGTAAAATTTTCTAACTACAATGGAGTTTCTAAGCTTTCTAAGCTCTGGAATAGATTTACCAGAGAGGTTGTGAAATACTCATCGTGGGAGGTTTTAAGAACAGGTCAGACAAAATGCCAAGGATGCTCTAGGTTTACTTGGTCCTGCTTCAGCATAGGGACTGGGCTTGACAACCTCTCAGGGTCCCTTCCAACCCTACATTTCTAAGATTCTGTAATACTGTCATCTACATCAGTGTTTTCCAGGCAGTAGGTCTTGGTCAGGGAGTGGGTCATGGGAATGTTGTAGGCCCCACTGGAGCCCGAACTCCTCCCACACGCTGACCCCAGGCCTAGAACCCCCTCCCATATCCTCTTCACTCTAGCCCTCCCCCCCTGTCCTGAGCTCCCTCCCACACCCCAACTCTCTGCCTTGAGCCCCTTCTTGACCTCACACCCCCTCCCACTTCCCAACACCTTCCTTCAGTCCTATATTCATGGCTCACCAAATAATTGCCCTACCCAGATGTGGCCCTCGGGCCAAAACGTTTGCCCATCCTGGTCTATAGTACACTGTTATTATTACTACAAGTTGGCAGGAATAATGGGCCCTATACCAAGGCTTTGAAACCTCAGCATTGGAAACATACCCTTTTTTCATGATTTGGAATGATACAACGGACAAAGTTTGGATTTGTATTCCTTAGGGTAGTCATCAGCTTGGTCAGTTGCTCTTTATAGAGTTGCCCGACTGTACGGAACATGCCCTTCTTGGTTTTTGAAGCACTAGGGAGTGAACTTTCTGTCATCTTTGCCATCTGGTCCAGTCCCACTATGCGGTCCACTGAAATGTAAAAGCAAGTGTGAATGGAACCTCTCAGACAGATTGTCTTCAAACTTCATTACTTCTGGCAATAATTGTACGTATTGTTAAAATCTAATTGTGTATTGTGGTACTATAAGAACATTTATTAGCAATAGTCATAGAGACAAAGGAGATTAAATATTTAGTAAGGTCTACTACTTCTGTGGCAATGCTGAAAATACAGCTTGTCAGGGACTGATGACTGATAAGAGTACTGTTGAGTGCACAGCTATTAATATAGAACACTTAACTCTTACGTATGGGTTTACATCTATCCTACAAATATTAATTTACAACACCCTTCCATGACAGGTAAAATTATTCAGCAAGTTAGAATTGGGGAAACTACCCGCCACACCTCCTGACTCCCACTCTAATGTTGTATACAGTAGACCTCACTCCCTCAAAGTCTTCTGGGTCTCTTCCCCTGATTATCTGAATGTTTGGGGTATCCTCCAAGTACTTTGGAAAAATTAGGGTTGTGCTGTTCATTTTATATATGTTTCTCCTGCTCCTTGTGCTAGATAATATAAAAAGTGCTAGGTAACATAAAATCATACTCACAGGAGCCAGTGAAATATAGTTTAAATTATATCTCCTTAGCAATGCTCATAGGACATTCAGTTGAGAGGTGGCAGTGAGATATGGATTGTACATGATCACTCTTCAGAAGTAAAAATAACATAAGCTGCTCAATGTCACATGTTCAATAACAATCACATGCTGAATCTTCATTTTCATGATCTTTTTGGATGGCATTTTAAAGTAGGTCATGGAGCTTAAACCATCCAAACACACTGTCCCTGAGGAGTATAGTGTTAAGATTTAATACATTTAGGGAGAAGGATTTTAATGCCTTGTGCCTAACAAGGGATAGAAAGAAACCTGAATAGGTTCTAAAGGACGAGCCTCAGCTCTTTACACAATGTTATAGGTTAGAGTTCTGATTCATACCATCTTTCCAAAGGTCTGCCACAAATTTGTCTGAAGACTGATTTAACAGAGAAGTCACATTGTCATTTAGTGGATCCATATTCTTTGTGAGCCAGGCACTTGCATTGTAGTCAACCTATAGAAAATATCACACACAAAAAATCTGTTCTCAGTCAAGTATTTTGATAGTGAAGGCCCTGATCCTGACTGGGAATGTGTGCACTGCAACAATCCAAATACCAATATCTGGGTAGATGGGATTTGTTTACATGGATTGGTGTTGGTACAAGGCTCTTAAAGGTTAATACACTCATATTTTGAAGCCCCAATCCTGCTGCCATAGCCACATTAGTGGATCTCTACCATCTTTGTGAATTTGTATGGAGAGGCCAAAGTAGTGGGATTTTCAGAAATTATAATCTTTGGGCTAGCTCTGTTCAAATTGAAATCAATGGATTTCACCAAGGATTGGCTGCAAGGGGCAGAATTAGACTAATTCTGAGCACTTTCTATATGTTAATAATAAAAGCACTTATTTATTCCAGCTAACGTAAGTCAGTCTCTGTATTTGGATTCTAGTTCTTGGCAATCTCTCACATTATGGCTGTATATTTCACTGATTGAACATCAAAGGTTTAAAAGCTTTGTATAATAAAAGAGTTTAGTCCTGTCCAATACCCTTCCTGCATAGTGGATTATGGAGAACTCAGTTTTGTCCTTGAGTTGTTTAGGCTTATGGAACTTGGGATGACTGCCTTGCTCTTGACATAATTTCTCTACAAAGGAGGTGTCAGTAGCTTTGGGGAACCAGCACTCTTCATCCAGGAGAGCCAGGACACCAGGTGGGTTGTTCTGCAACATAAGCATAAGACACATCAGTTATGTAATGGGAAATAAACGTTCAATTTCCTCTAGATTATTATTAATCACATTATTAAACAATAGAGCCAAGAAGTCTAAGAGTACACAAGCTTCTTGTTGGGCTGTGATACAAGTTGCACCTCTATAAACTGGGACTCTGGTCTGGTAACATCCATGGTCTGGAAAGCCAATGGATGTTCCAGGATCAGAGTGTCCTGGCTTGCTGCAGGAAAGGGGGGGGGGGGGGCTGGAAGCCTGGCACTATGCAGGCAGGGTAACAGACTGTGGAGGAGGGGTGAGTTGGGATGCCTAGCGCATAGCTCAGCTAGGCTGTGTGGGGAGGGGCAGCATCTCAGTTGGGCTGTGGGGGGAGCCAGGAAGCCCATGGTGGGGGAGTGCAGGAAGGGGCTCAGCAGTAGCAGTGTCAGAAAAGACCTCCCCTGGTCTGGAAAAATCCCTCAATCAGGACCAGTGAGGTCCCGAGGCTGCTGGACCAGGGAGGTCTAACCAGTACAAGTACCTCCAACCAATCCAACCTACACAATGTTGTCCCATCTAAAGACATGTTATCTTACTGGTCTTTCAATCAGCTCAATGCAAGGTTGCAGATCAAGGCCAAAGTCAATGAAATTCCACTCAATGCCCTCCCGCTGATATTCTTCCTGCTCCAATATGAACATTGTGTGGTTGAAGAGCTGCTGAAGTTTCTCATTCGTGTAATTAATACACAATTGCTCAAAAGAATTAACCTGAAAATGGGAGGAAAGAACTGAATTATTACATTTAAAATGGTATGTACAAGAGAAATGTGGGTAGTAATATAAAATTGCATATCTTATGGTTCTTTCATTAGCATTAATTATTAAAATATAACGGAGTAGATTTTATTTTCCTAATCTTGATTTTACATGAAAATTTGTATTAAACTCTTACAAGTTAGATTACCCAGGTATAGTTTGTTTTCTCAACTCAATGTAATTCTCAATTGTTTTATGTAGGTACCACTTTATCGCTGAAATAATACTAGCTTATAATCCATTTACTGCATTCCTTATGTTTCTGTGTACCCAAATTGCTGCCTCTTTACACATTTCACAGAATAGTGTTCAGTATATTCTCTCCCCACACAGGTCCACTGCACTGCTTAAGGCCCCAGTCTTCCACTGATGATAGAGCAGGTTGATCCCTGCCTGTTGGTGCTGTGCAGTTACAGAGGGTCTGTCTACCTCAGGGGTGGGCAAATTCTGGCCTGCAGGATTAGTACCTGGTGGGCCCCCATCTCCATGTTTATTTGCACGTCCACAGGTATTGAAGGATTGCCACTCTCATTGGCTGTGAATGGAGATTTGTGGCCAATGCGAGCGGTGGGAAGCGGTATCCTGGTCCACAACACTTCCCACTGCTCACATTGGCTGTGAATGGCAATTTGTGGCCAACCAGAGCAATCCTCCAATACCTGTGGAGGTGCAGGCAAACATAGCGGCAGTGGCCTGCTAAGGACTAACCCTGCAGGCTGCCATTTTTTTATTGCCCACCGTGGCCTACTTGGTTCTCAGTGCAGGATCAGGGTCTAAGATTTTTAATAAAAAGATAATGAAAGTAAGGGCGCCTCTCCACTTACTCTGAGAGCAATGCTCCAGAGATAGATCTCTCAGGGGTTGATTTAGCAGGTCTAGTAAGGACTCACTAAATCAACTGTTGATAGTGCCCCCATTGACCCTGGTGTTCCACTGGATCATGAGAAGGGAAGTCAACAGGTTAGTTTCTCCTGTTAACCCCCCACAATGGGGACACCGCAGAAATTTGACCTAAGAGATAGCAACTCCAGCTACGAGTTATCAACTCCAGCTTAGATATATCAACATAGCTGGAGTTGCGTATCTTAGGTCGACTTTCTTCTCTAGCGTAGGTTCAGACTAACTAAAACAACAGAACAAAACACACAAAGATTGGAAGTTAAAATGTTCATATCTTGAGCCAAGTAGTACATACCTCAAATATCTCAAATCCAGCGATATCAAGGATCCCCAGGAAAGATGCTCCCTGTCTTTTTGTTTTATCTAGAGCTTTGTTTACTCGACTAAGAATCCAACGGAACAAACGTTCATATGTTGCTTTGGCTAAAGCCTCTATCGCAAAGTCTGCCTATTAAAGCAGAGCAGGGAAGAAGAAAAATGAATGAACAAATCAAAATCAGATGCTAGCTTCCACATAAGACTCTATATCGGGTGTGGAGGACAGACCTGCCATTTCCGTCCCATACTGCCCATTTTTAAAGCAGAAGGTTAGTAGAGTTAGAGAAGGAGATTACAAATTGATACCTGCTCTTTAGTCTGGGCTTTCTGAACAACATCTCGTCCCACTTTGATCCGTGGCGTTAGGATTGACCTTGTGAAGTCTGTCACATTAATACCCATCAGGTGACACACTTTCTGTGCAGCTACAATGAAGAGCACAAAATTCCGTTTCACATTGGATTTTCTCATGATAGGCCCATAAATATCCTTGGTAACAGTATGACTAGTGATGAACACATCCGTCCATTCCAGAAAACTATCTTCCTTATACATATGCAAAAGAGACTACATAAGTTCCATTTCCAACACCAGCAGCATATGCATTGGTCAATCATTTAGGAACTCAAGGACACCAGATATGGGAGGCATGTTAACTTTGTTGCTCTAAAGTGCAGAATCTCTTTTTTTAACAGTTGAAGCACCACTGGAAACCAACAATGAAAACTAGAAGATTGGTAAAAATTACATGTACTTAATGGTCTGTGACAGGGTATGTTTCAACAATGGCTGTGAAAGGGTTAATAGGAGTGCTCACAATTAGCACCCCTGGTTGTACCTGGAGGGTGGGTCAGACCCAATTAAAGTCAAAATCCAGCTAGGGAGGAGCAGGTGGTTACTTTAAAGAGAAGAAGCCTGGACTAGAAAGGAGGCTAGAGGAGGCCAGGAGGGACACTGGAAAGACAGGAGTGGCAAAAGTTGCTGCAATGACCTTGAAAAAGTGGAGGAACTGGACTTCTGGGGAGGAAGCTTTGGGAAGTGTTGCTCATTATAAGAGGTGGAAAAACATTTTAGAGCAGGGGTGAGTAATAAAATGGCAGCAGGTG